AGACTGGAGAGCAATGTTAAAAAGGGAAGTGAGGAGTGCTCATGATATAGCATAGAGGTTCGCAAGGCAAAGAACAGCAAGAAGAGATTGCAGGAGGATAAGGGAGGACTACAAGAAGCCCTGCAGTGCGCAGAGTGCTGTGGGTACAAAGCAAAGCGTGTAACTATAACTAACTGACACGCTTACCCTGGGATCATACTGAAAGGGGATTGAGCAAGAAGGGGTCTATCGATGGTTTAGCATTTCAGCTGAGTGCAGTGTGGCTATAAAATGCTGGCGTGACAACTTTTGACACGGAGGCTTTTCTTTTCTCCTCTCCTCCCCTTGGATTTATTTGAGCCTTTCTGTAGTGCTTTGTAAGCGGCTACTCCTAGGAGACTTCAGCCTGCAAGTCCCTTCAGCCAGTGCAGCGGTTCTGACCGAGAAATGGGTCCTGTGAGGCCCTCCCATGCTCTCGGGCTCATCCTTCCCCCTGACTCTCTAGCCAGCAGTTTCTTGTTTGTGGGATCTGATGGCTTTCAACTAGCACTCCCAAAATGAACACTGTATACCATGCCCAGGGTGTTAAATCACACAGCTTCTTTGCAGGCTTGCAGGATAAGATACGTAAGAGGAGTCTCTTGCCACGTTCAGACTAAGTCGGTGCATCCTCCGTGTCTAAATTAGACTGAGAGTTCTGCTCATCATACTGTAACTTGCTTAACTTGCCTAAAAGGCAAAATTTTCTTCAGTCGCTCTCATCTGTACCATTCCTACATGCTCTTGCCAAAAAAAACCCTATAGAAACCACACTGCCCTCCCAGACAAATACCAAGCACATTTCATAGAGCGTGTGCATTACTCCCATAGTCTTTGGCCGGGTGGCAGCTCATCCTGTCTCAGACACTGATAGAAGCTGTCACAGCACTGAAGAAGCTTTCTGGTGCCACCTTCTGGTTCACACTATGCCCCATCAGCGGGGCCTTGCACTGTGTTGATGCTTCACTGAAAAAGACTCTGAAAACTGACCTCAGTGTAATTGTTTCTAGGCAGGAATTTGTAAAGTAGTATTAGCACATAAGTCCATAATCAGCGGAAGTCCCTCCCCCCCCCCTTGTAATTTTAAAAAGGAGAGAATTACTACTTCTTCGTGCCTGGGGAATAAACATGCATAATAAAAGCATGCAACAGAAGCGCCCTTTTATTCATAGTGCACTGGCATTTTAAACAAGGTAGCTGAGGAGGTGTTATTGGCAATTTACATGACAAAATATGGCATCTAGAGCCATGGATTAAATGGAAGGAAAGAACTTGGTGTAATTCGCTTTTCTTTATACAGCTAAAAACAAAGACGTGAGCTGATAAGAGTTGGAGACTCGTTGGCTACTATTCCTAATAATTGGAGTTACTTTAAAAAATCATAATATTTCGGAAGTCCCTGCTCTTTTCAAAGAGCTCAGTTTCAAAGAGCCAGTCCTTGTGCCCAGTAACTAGTATTCATAAGCATTAACCTGGTAAATTGTCATGCCCATGACAAGCAGTTGTTGTAAATATGTGTGGGTTTTTTTTTTTTTTTTAAATCACTTTTTCATTAAATCTTGCTGGGCAGTATGTATTTTGTACCAGCTGAATTAGGATTTAGCAGGTTCTGCCTACTCCCCAAAAGCAGTACCTTCATTGTAGCTGTAATTGTAGCAGCTCCCTCAGATCAGGCCTGTTCTTTTTGAGCTCACATAGGGAGGTATCGTTAAAGCAAAGGTATATAACAGGGACACAAAAGAAGACAAAGGGGCCCTTGTATTTTCCCTAGTCGTCTTTTGTGGGGGAGGAAAAAAGGGGGCATGGGGCAGCCCAGTGCTGAGGGATCTCACTGGAGGCACCATGAGGAAAGTGTAAATCAGGCAGCAGCAGTCTCTCCGCTTCAGACTTTTCTTTTTCTAGCCCTGTTCCCTTACCTTTGCTGGAGCCCATTTTGGTGTCAGTTTAAGTGTGCGTTTGCTTAGTCACCTCCTAACTTACTGTCATGCCATTTAGCGGCCAGTACTGTCCACTTAATGTTTCATTGGCATTGCTAGAATACTTAGAACATAATTTTTTAGCTTTAAGAGTAGAATAGCTACACGGAACTTAAACTCATGAAATTATAAGGAAAGCTGAACCTTTTTTATTAAACTCAGAAATGTCACCGACTTAAAGATGGGTCTGAATTTTAGCGATGTGAAGAACTCCATGTTTGCATTAAAAGTGTACTACTTTGCAGGGAATACCTATCACTGAAGAGCACTCTTTTTAAATTCTTTTCCTTGACACATGCAAGACACAGAAATGAGTAATCTGATACTCAAAGATGGGAAATCATTTGTCCTACAAACAAGCCCCTTTATGGAGCCCAAAAGACTCTATGGTGGAATGGGGGGAACTCTGAAAATACTTTATCAATGAAATAAATAGGTTCTTCTTACCCATTTCCCCCCATGTTTTTTCATTTTCCAGCAAACAAAACAAAGCAGTCAGAACAGCTGTATGGTTTGATAGTGGTAGTACAGAAACCAGGGAAAAGAACGCTCTGAGAGATGAATTGTGCTATCTTGGCTAACTCCTTCTGCTAAGCTTCAATAAGCTTGCAAGACAGATGTGCATAGCCCGACTAAGAAGGGTGAAATAATTAGAGAGTGGAATGTGGGGCTTTTGTCCCTGCTATAATTATCCCTGGGCCAGATCAGAAACATTAGACATCCAATAGGTGATGTTTTTAGATTAAAAAAAAATAGTTCCTCCTTTCTCTAAAGGCTACATACTTTTCCTATCTAATCAGTAATACAAAATGGGGAGGTGCTGACACAAGCAAGAATAGCCAATGACTTCATCAGTGTGGCAGCAGCTCTGCCTTTAAAGTGTGAGCAATTCATTGTGGTTTCTGTGGGGTTTTTTTTCCTCCTCTTTCTTTTTTTAATCCTATGTTGTATGCAGGAATTTGCAGTCACCTTTGGGGCTACGATGGTTCGTACTGTCAGTCTGTGCTGAGGCAGAGCACGGTCTTGCTGCAGCAGGATACTTGCTGTTACTCTCCCAACAAACCCCAACTGCTGCTCTTGCAATCAGAACAAATGTAAAGCAAATAACCCTGCTCACCAGCAGTTCTTTCCCTTGTTATTAGTGGCTTTGGCCTAAGAACCCAAGGAAGCTGAATCACCAAAGCTAAATGTTAACAATGTGTACATAATCACGAATAGCAAGAACTTATTTTGAAAAACTTAAGCAAAATTGTCTCCTCTATCCCAAAACAGACAGACTGGCTAGTCCCAGAGAAGAAAAAAACTAATTCCACACATATGACTAGCAGGCCTCCAGCAAAGCTATTGTAGGATTTAAAACCCCCAATATATCCTTTTTTTTTATAGAATTAGAATGATCCTATGGCAACAGTATTGTAAGCCTCTAGAGTTTTCTGTTTAAGAAGTTGCAGAAGGCCTGTACTGAAAATTCAATATAAACTATTTTAAAAATGTAAGATTACAGTTATTTCATAAGCCATTTAAGCAAAAGATGCAATTGCAAGACTTAAGGAAGAGTCACAAAGCAATTTAAGCAGACAGGTGGGCAAGCAGCCCTCCACAGTGCCCCTGCAACTGTTTCCCCACTCTCGTTAAAAGTAGCCTCCACACAAAATTATGTAATGTTTGTATGACTGTGAAGTGAGTTTTTCTTTTTAAACTCTACGTTGTTTAGTGAATTTGTCTTGTGTTTTCCTGTGACAAAGTCTTCAGGACTGCAGCTGGAAATTAAATTTCATCTGCAAAACGTACATTAACCTATCAGTTGCATAATGGCAATATCAGAATTATCCACTGGCTACGCTATGCCTCACAGCAGTATTGTGCCAACTAAAAGAAGGTGAAAATATAGCTCAAGAGGGGAAAAGTAAGTTTCAATATAACTAAAAATTTTGTTGCCTACACCCTCTGTACCGGCTGCACTTTACACAGCTGCACAGGAGCAACCCTGTGGCCAGGCTGGAGGCCAAAACCACCAGCCAAGACTCGCCGACATCTATCACCTGACAGTCTGGGTGCTCTCGTGGTCTGCCCGGCTGCAGCTCCTGGTAAGACCTATGGCTGCGCTTCCTGGCAGCGCAGCAGATCCGACAGCCCCCGTTTACACTTCCGCCACAGTATTACGAGCTGTGCGACAGAGGCAAAGGAGACCCTTTTGGGTTCCCTTGCAGAAGAGCTGGGGTTACACAGGTAGGTAAGACCGCAAGCTGAAGACAGGCTGCCCATAAAGGAAGGGAAAAAACGCCAGCTTTGTAGAGTCAAGCCACTTTCAGGATCACCCTGGTCAAGTAAGAGTCAGTGCAATCATTTTCCTTACCACAACTTAATTTAGGGGAAAAAAAAAAAAACCCCAAACCTCCTCTGAGTAGTATTAAAAGTAGAGCAAGAAGGCATAATTCATAATATTACTAACTTTGGACTCTTTTTTTCTGTTTAGGAATTTGCATGCTGTGGGGCCATGAACTGACTTCCAGCCAGTTCTTGTGTCTGCTACCTTTCCCCAGGTGAATTTTCATTTTCTGACACAGTGTTGCTTTTCAACTTCTGGCATTGCTGCATACTTCCTCCTTGCCACCTACTCTTCTTTAACGCTGCAGATTTCGTATCTATTTTTCTGACATTAAGTGGTCACTTAATTGAATATAAACTTCATTAAGTCAGGTAACAGGGACAGAAGCCCATTAGGAGCCCATATTCTGTATACTAAAGGCAAAAGGAAAAGTTGTTGTCATTTCTCCCTTGACCCACATCTCCTAAAGCAGCTATCTTCAGCTCCCCAAAAGGATGCTTTTTTTGTTCCTTCTGTAAGATGGCATGTAAATATTTACTTTTTCTAAAAAGGAAACCAGAGAGCATTTGTTCTAAGACAACACATTTTCTCTTAAGAAAAAGCAAACAAACCAAAAAAAAAAACCCCTCATGGCTAGGAATATTGAACAAGACAGATAAATACCCACACAATAGGACTAAACCCTTTTGTTTTAATATTTATCTGAGCACAAACCAAAGTTTAGCATGGAAGACCATATTCTAAAGTACAGATACACCGAGACTGTTAGGCTTTGTACTTTGTCACATACACTTTGCACGTTATGCTTTGCACTTTTTTGTGCAAAGAAACACAAATCTACAGAGTGAGAAAGAAAACAAGTATAGTTACTCTTCTTGGAGTCTGGAAAGGCAGTAGCAAATGGCTGAAAGCAGTATGGAAGAATGGGGAAGGAAATCATTCACGATGAGGGAGGTAGGGGTGGAAAAAACGACGTTCCAACTCCAAAGTCTCTTATCCTAGGCTAATGGCTAAAGTTAGAAATGGAGCCACTAAGTTACACAGTCTTGACACAGACACGCTCCCTCATCTGCCAGGGATTTGTGCTACCTGCACGGCCTTCCACATGCAGTTACTCCTGCTCTTCTCAGGGTTAGACTTTGTTAATGGCTGTGGATGCGTCTGGGTGTTCCCTTTGCCTCTAACTCTCGGGCACCGGCTGCTTCCATGTTTATTTGATGTTAATTCTGGCACAGAAAGATCCCTCTCCGCACTGGGAGAAGTACCCTGAAAGTTTTAAGTTGCTGTGCTGAATTACCATCTTCCTGTGTTACCCGTTTAACAGAGCTTAGTCAGAGCCAGCAATTAGCAGTAAAGTATTTCTCATATTCCAGCTGTCCCCCTAAATAATAGCATAGTCCTCCACTACAGTTTTGTCTCTGTCGTATCAGGATCTTCTGGGAATGTTTTTGTTTGCAAGACAACTAGTACAACATGATGATCACACATGCTTAGCAGCTACATTTTGAGATTCAGGTAACACCGCATAAAAAATGGTTCTCAGATTCTGCACACAGACAGGTTTATGTAAAATATATAAACATTTGTCCAAGTTGTTACAGATCGCATAAATATGGCATTTTTACTGTTGCATTTACAGATGTGCATGTACAATGATGTGCAAATAATCACAATTTGATTACAATCTTTGAAAAGCACTTGAACTTTGCATCCAAGTAATGCAATGAATGAAAAATGCCCGAAGAATTTAAATAGCAAACTTATAACATGGTTTAAATTCATAACAAATTTCAATGTCTTCTCAGTAAAACTTTCACACATTTAAAATAGTTTGTATTCATTTTATTTGTATATGTCAAAATACATTTTTTTTTTTCCAAAATAGTGGGTTTTGCAACTAGTTTCATGCAGATACAAGGTCTGCTCAGTACTACCAATAAAATCAATATAGCACAGTAGCCATTCATTTTTTTTTTAGATATAAAGAATAAATAACCTAAATATAAAACACTAAAATATTAGAAACACGTATTTAATCATTCACAGGCACCCAAACTTTACCAAATATAATCCAGAATATGCCTAACTGTCTTGTAACAGAACTCAATACATTGCAGCCATTCAAACTGTTTAAATTCTTTGCTTATTTTATGTTAGCATAAGACAATGGAAGTTCCCTATGGTTCAGACCCACCTCTCATACAGATCAATTACAATAAGATATCTCAAACTATCCGTGTACCTTTAAAATCAAGAATCCTGAGCTTGGTAGTAAGAGCATAACCTTACATCTTCAAAAAACCAATCAACACAGAGAGGACATCATGTCTTCCTTACCAAAGCATATCCCACCCCCATAAAACTACCCCCTCCCCCCCGCCCCCAAGTAGGCAGTAGAACACAATGACCTTTTTAAATGAAGGGGTACAAATTCACATTTAATATAGTATACAATATAATCAATAATACAATAGCTACTACAAGCTTTACAATGTACAATTTGTTTTAATGGCTGATCTGTTCAGTGGTTTTAGGCAATAAACTATGTGCCAATAAGATGTCATATTCTGAATGGTTTAGTGAAAATATAAAAGCTGTTTGTTTCTAACAAAAGCGATCTTCACTTAAGTACTTTTTTGTTTTTAAAGGCCACTGAAATGTATAAAATGGTCTGACATGATGGTGTTATCAAATTAGATGCCTTCTCACATGGCAACAACAGTGCATATAAACATTAATGTGAGTGTAATGGGTTATGTTTTTCAATGATTTAGTAACATTACTTTGGCTAGCACAACAGTTTTGGACAGCACTCAGATAAATACAGGTATGTGAAATGTAGTGAAGCAGTTATATTTATGCAATTTTTTATTATGGTGAACGCTATCAAATGAAAAAAAATGGGAGGAAAAGATAATAAAGTATTTTATATAGTTTAGACCTTTTGTAAAGATAGGGCTCCATACAATGTACAATGTCTAAATTCTTTATACCATAAAAATTAATGAATTTTGTTAAACACACTATTCTGGAGTAGCCTAATTTGCATTAACAGACATTTGCAATAGGGAAATATATTCAAGCATGCCACGTGGTGGTCTGAAAAAAATCAAACCAGTACACATTTATATATACAGCATCACTCAGTACCTGCTCAAATGAATGTGACAATTACAGGATCTAACATCTCTCACTACAAACTTTTTTTTTTTTTTTAAGTGACCAATAAAGGCAGAAAACAGGACTCATAAAATAACTCTAGTTTCAACTGACTTTTAAAGCATTTTGTATAGGAAATAAATGCATATTGCACAAACAGTGAAAGCAAATGTTCCACCAAACATCTCTGTTCCAGGTGGTTGGACAATACAACTCTAGGTAGCTACACAAATATGTAATTTAAAAGGGTGTGTGGTCTCTGCAAATGGTAAAGCTGTGAAAACACTGTACAAGAAAATCTGGTACATGAATAATTAGAAGGGAAAAAAACAAATCCAAACTTAAGATTTAAAGAAAAACTGAATATAGGGAAAAAAAATGGGAACTGTGGCACAAAAAAAACGTTATTGAGTAACTGTCTTCTGTGAGAGCTGAAAGCTTTTGTTGATGTAAAAGTGTTTATGTACAACTAAGGCTTACTGGTTAAATATCTGAGGCGTATCTGGCCTTGAACACTTTCCTTATTATGCTGTAGCTGTAAACAAGATTTCTCAGTCATTTTATCTTCTCAGCAGCTGCATTTTAACAGAAACAATGATCTTGATACAAAAAAAACACACAGGTAAGAGGGCGTTTGGCAGGATATCTGAAAATGACAGTCTCCAAGGGATCTTCCCACACTTCCAGTGACTGCCATACTATGGTCCACTGGAGTTACTAGTGATGTGCAATGCCGTTATTCGCTGCTGTAGTAAACCCTTTATTTGGAAAGTTTGCTTATAACTCTGATCAAGGCCCCATTTTCATCTTTTAGCCTCTGGTTGTCTGCCTTCAGATCTGGTAGCATCTATCAAAAATGAAACACAATGGTTATTTGCTGTTACACCCTAAGCAAAATCAACAAGACTAGACAAGCATTGGGGATAAAAATCTTTAATCAGAACAAGTATTTTGGCAGTTACTCTCTCCCTTATCAACAGTTGACAAAAGTCTCGCCTTTTAGCATGATACAGTTAGGAGCTATAGACTAGGAGTTTTCATATACTCGGACTGGATGCACTACACTGAGCGGTGAGAATGAGAAGCCTCTGCACAAAAGCATTTATAGTAGCATGAGGAAAGTAATTAAATGCTTCAGATGCTAGAAGTGCAAAACCAAAATGTTAATTACTGACAATTTAGAGAGGCCTGTCTAAACTATGCTTGTACTGTTGTTTGAAAATAAAATACTGTGGCTAATCTTATCTATCACTGTGTTTTTGGACAATTCCACTCTGGATCAGATACTGAGTGATTCAGCACATTAACTCATAGCATTAATCTTCCAGTCACTTCCAGACTTGTGTTCAAGCACACATCCTAGAATTTGAGATCCTATCTCTGAATATAATGGTTCACAAACAAACACATAAAAGATCACTGAAACACCAGGCTGCATACTCAGGCATACCAGCTAGAAGATGGCAAGTTAAGGTTGCCAGAGGAGACAGGTGACATACAAGCACAAAGGCTAGAAGGCAGGAGCCAAGTGAGGTGAGAGCTGGACAGGATCAGGCAGGAAAGGAGGACAAGTCAATGCACAGAGGTTTGTACTGGTAGACTGTAACTTGCTGGAGAAACTAAAAGTAATCTCAGAAATTCTCAATACCTACGTTCACACACTGATAACAAGCCACCTATAAAACTCGTGGCTAAATTATGTTTCTAGCAGCTGATTTACATAGGAGGCAACGGCCTATTCCTGCAGAGGGGTTATTCAGTAACCTCTGGTGCATGAACATGCAAGAGGTCTAAGTCCAACTGATGACCTATTTAACAACGGCTACATATTTTTTCATGATGAAATTTCCTTCCCCCTAGTTTTGTTTTCATTTTATTCTAATGAAATTACGCTTTTTACCCCGTTATATTCAAAACATTACAATGGAACAGAAGGAACTGAGAAGTTTAAAAATACAGTGTTAACTAACTGTGCATTAGACTACCGGCGGCTCTTACACATTTCCTCCACAAGATTACTGTCCACAAGCAATTCACCAAACAGCAGACCCTCTCAGAGGGTGAACCCTGATGGTGCACTAAAGGAGTCTATGCTTATAACAGCTCTAGTTTCTTTACCTGCAAGTATTGGAAGATGTGAAAGGAAGAAGGCAGGATAACACAAGAGGGAAAAAAAAAGGTGGTGTGCACAGAGCTAGAGCACACAAAAATCATTCTGCTAAACTGGACTCCATTTCTGCTCCACGGCGCTTAGGGTAAGTCACCTGAACCAAGCTTTCCACAGAGAGCCACTCCGAGTTCTTTAATGCTATAATTTCAATCACAGTCAAGTGAAAGCTGTGCTCCAAACACAGAGTGCTGTAAAACACCAATTACTTTGAAAAGTCATGTCAAAGGGTTTGAAATTGGGCAAATCAAGTAATCATTTGAAAATTTTCAAATATTACCTGTGGTGTTTTCTAAAATGTAAAATAGGGTGATCTCATATCGCACGTCTACTACGGAGGAACATTTACTTTTTGTAAAATTTACGACGCAATGAGAAAATTCACAGAAAAACCCTAAGAGGAAATAATTTTGTATTCTGTAAGTTAAGTGCAAGTTAAACATGGAACTGCACACTGAACAATGAGTAGCATTTTAAAATATGTTGAAATGCTGCCATTTAACTGAATAAAATAGGGTGCCTGCGGGGGGAGGGGGGGGGGAAACAGGAAGCAATCCTATATTATTGAAGATGATTCTAATGTATGCTTTCCATGTTTTTGCTTCTGAGTTCTTGAATTTATGACCCCAGCTCTTAGTGTCCTGTTTTGACAGTGGGTTAGGTTCTATTAGGAAAAGGAGGGGCAAAATCCAACCTGGAGTCTGTCTAACCACAATACTACTGTTGTCTGAGATAACACACACTATGGGTCATATGCAGATAACAGGCACCCATAGCGTGCATTTGTGCGTGCACCTGTAATATTAGGATAAACCCAGGGTTGTTCTATGTTGTATCTACAAACAGTGAAATAGCTGTTTGTTCAGTAAAAGCAACCAACACCTTTCTTTCCTACTGTTCAGTTTGTTCCGGGCTTCATGCAAAACATCCTATGTGAAACTGCAACAGCGTTCATGTACCTATGCACAACAGAGTTCAGTTTTGGTCTTGTTAACTGTGTTTTTAACAAGTGCCATTTTGTATGCCTTCCAATGAAATCTCAAAGCAACTCCAGTAACTCCACAGTCCTGTTTCCACTTACTGGCTAGGGAGCTGCAGTCAGTAATGCTCAGTACATACAAGCAGACCCACAAACTGGTATTTTTTCTGGTGAACTCCTATCCTAACAAAGCAGCCACTGTCCAAATTTAGAGCCTTAACATAATCCCATGCCATTTCATAGTCTGCGAGCCCCTATAAATAGGTTTTAATCCTGATTAAACTAATAGGTACAATACGCATTAACAAAGTATTTTCTCCGTTGTTAGTGAGTCTGCTAAAGAATATGGGAAAACTGATAGCAGACAAAGGCAGTCAGGAGTAACAGGAGATCGATCAGGAAGGATAAATTCAAACAGCATAACTAAAATGCTCTTGCTACCCATCTATACTAATCCCAAAATGTTTTAAACTGAGCCAAAGATATTTATACAATTTTCTTGGCACAGTGCATTCCTACGGTACTAAAACTTCCTGCGAGGTGGCACCGCACCTTTACTTTGAAGGGGCAGAAAACCAGCTTTGCAGTAAACTCAGTAAAATTACAACTACATACTGTACTTGATACTTTCAATACTTCTCAATAAAATAAGAGGGTATCTTTCTGCGATGAGATTTTTGAATAAGATTACAAATGCACTATTTTGCCTATCTGTTTTATACGATTAGCTGGTAACGTTGCAGTGCCTTAGTTGAGCAAATAATTATTCAATAATCACCTGACATGTGCAGCCAACTCAGATTTGTGCAGTAATAATAACGTCTGTGTTCGCTGTAGGATTTAACAGTTTTTATATACAAAACCACTGTGAAAGCGTTAAGGTTATAAAAAAAAAAAACCTCATGAACTGTTAGGGTACCTGTTCAGATTAACCAGCCACACTGTAATGGCTAAGCTACCACCTAAAGAGGTAATGTCAAGTGTCTTGCTGCGTTTCCATTGCTTTCCATTTGCTACCACAGCTTCTCAAACTCCATTATGATCTGGCTTTGAAAACTCCCCCTACAAAAAGAAACACTGAATGGTTGTCTGTGGTGTGACACCCTGAACTGGCTCACCACGGTTAGAGGAATGCCAGTGCTAGCACAAATAAGATGGAAGGAACACGTGGCTGTGGGCAACAGTCACTGGATTAGCTCCATTGTGTTGGAAAACCACATTGTTAGCTGAAGCCGATGCAAGACAGGCAGCCCTGAAGGGGCAGTTCTCCCTTCCCCTGCAGCAACATGCTCCTGCTGCTTTCTGTGCGTTAGGTTTAGTGACACGGCAGCTATAGGGCGAGATGGAGCAAGAAAGGTAACTAATCAAGGGATTTGTTTTTAGCCAGGTCAGTGAGCAGATCTTACTCACTCAGCAAGCCTAAATACAAGGTCAGGAATACAGGGCCTGGACCAGGAACAACCTTTCCACATCCTACTGTTAGATTGACTTCAGGAAGACATGAAACCAAAGGATAAACCTTCTATTTATTCTATGCCTCTTAGTGGGGAAAACCTGAGATCTGACCCTGTGAGCAGAATGCAAAAAATATATACTCATCTCTGCTTCTAAGAGGGAAGGCTAGGGGGAGAAGCAGTTTAGCAAGAGTCACTGTGCAGAAGGAAAGTTATTTTCTTTTCACCTACAGATCTTAAAAGCGCACTGAAACTTCCACCCAACACAATTATGACCAAGTAAGAGGAAGAAAGGCTAATGGATTTGGTCTGCAATGAAACGACATTTTGTTCATTACAGATGTTTGAGCCGTCAGTGGTTTTCTGGAACAGCCCTCCAATATGCACTAAAGGCAACAAAATTCATGCCTTTAACTGGAAGAGACTGAACTGGATGACCCAGTAAGCAATGTGACACATTTACAGCAGTAGGGGCATTTTTTGTGTGTCTGTCTGTATCACCTTTGTCTGATAGGATTCTGGTCCACAGTTGGAATGCCTACGCGTACAGTAATACAAATTAATAACCTTCAAATCAGTGCTAAAACTGGGTATTTTAAGCTTAGTCCGAATCCTCTTAGAAAAAAATAAGGATTGTCCAGAACCACAGGAAGTTCATAAAGGAAAATATTAATTGACTAGAAATCTGTGATACGTTTTTGAAAAAAATAAAGACTTTGATCCCCTCTAAACTCTAAACACACCAATGTACAAAATAAAGTTGCTAAGGCAACTGTTCAGAAATGCACAGTACTGAGACCACTTCTCAGACATTCTTTAGCTCAGACTGGATTTGTTTCAATTCTATGCACTTTAATTATACTGCAGAGAGGACAGCCAATTCTTAATTTCTCTATGCTAGAAAACTAGAGTTAAACCTACCAATTTGAGAGTTTACATACATATCAAAATAAGAGAGTGACTTCACTGTATGCTAGTGCTAGCTCAAATCTCTTCAAATTGTTGCCGAGTCAAAGGTCTCTTGAATCGTTGCCAATTTCTCTTCGAGTACAAAATGACAAGCTTCAGTGCTAGTACGGATGATACCACACCATACCAACACATCTGCAACAAGAAACTATTTGGAACATCGGACACCATGCTTTAGCCACACTTCCATCCTCGAGCAGCAAGTCAGTGTCCAACACACAGCTGTTAATAGCGAAATTCTGCCCAAGCACACACTGAATGTCAACACCTGCCTGGCTACACAAAGGAGATGGAAGAAGTTACAAGTCCACAGACCGCAGTTGCCTACAGGACCCTGAGAGCTTGGCAACCACTCTGGTCAAGGCCCTATTCTCAGTCATCAGTCGCTCATTTATGTGTCTCAAAGACTGAATCTGCTTTATTTGTTGTAGGTTCTGCAGGAATCAAAGAAATAGGAGTGAAAAACAAGAGAAAAAAAAAAAAAACATGTATATTATGTTCAAAAGAACCAGAGATGAGCAGAATTGAAAGAAAACTTAAAAGAGAGACGCCTGTTTGAAGTAGATAACTCACTGTGAAAAGAAAGTATCAAACAAGTGGCACATTCTTGAAAAGTAATCTAAGAACCAGCAGTGATTAGTCACAGCTTTCCAAAACAGTTCAGGATACATTAACAATGAGAGTTATTCCTGGAATTCTTTACTTAACATCCTAATTGCACAAACTAAATCTCCTGTTCAAATGTCTGTAAATAATCACACGCTTAACATATACTTTTACATGACACTACAACAAATTATAAAAAGACTAGTAAACTAGTAATCTTTAATTCAAAACTTTCATGAATGTATTGCTTACTGAAAGTAAGCCTTTGAAAAAGGCAATTTATTTTCATTCTTTATTTTTCCTCACAAACCCAGTCAACCCTAACGCTAATTTACAAGTTGATGATAAGAGCTCCAATTCTGTTTTCTACTCTTAGAAACAATTATTTTCCTATATTGTAGTTTGTTTTCTACATATTTCACTTTTAAAGACCCCTCAGGGACCTCAGACTGTGTCCTCCATTACAGCAAACTATCTTGGCCTGAATCCAAAGTAGCTAGAGACATCATCGTTGCCTTCTGCTTACATCTGCTTGTCAGCATCAATTATATCAGGAAAAACTTAAGTGCGTGTATTTTAATGAAAAGTATTTGGAAGTTGATGCAGTTTCCAAGCACCAGAGGGAGCCCAAAAACGAGCTTCCAAGGAAACTTTATCAATCAATGACAAACATCAAATCTCAGAGCAGTGACGATAACATCCTTTAACATTATGGAGTCCAAAAACATTTTCTATCTCATCACATTCCAAAACATGTCTAGTTATATTTTAATTCTATCAGTTCAGCTGGACCCATCCAATGTTATATCCCAGGGTATAACATAAACCAAAACTGCCAGGTTTGTCAGTCATCTTAATCTTATCAGAGGGCTTAACAGTGGTAAACCAGGGAATGAGAAAAGTCATACCATGACTGGATTAAAAAAAAATATACCAGAAATTTATTACAGAAGTGTTTTCCTCCTGGGATACAGTTCATACATAGTTGGGGAAAAAAAAATGGAAATCCAGTCACTCTTTACAAATAAATGTTTTTCTTTTGATATTGGTAACATCATCCTCTCTAATTCATGGTTTAGAGATCAGGACATGGAGGCTGAAGTAATATTTAATGCCTAATTATCTATGGAATTACATGCTATAGTTAAAATTTTTAAGTTAAAAAATATATAGTGTCACATGGAAAACAGTGAAATTCTGTCTTCATTTGATTAAGGTATGTTTCACTCTAAACATCTTTGAATATTTCTTGTCAGCCAATCTGCTATACAAGTGCATGTCTCAACACCGTCTCAGAAAACAAGACATCCTACGTGTATGACTGCTTATGCCAGAACAACCACCTCAGTACAAATTACATGCGATGAGTGATTGTGAAATGCACCTATGGCTTGCTAGTAATATAGCCAGACTACATGTTGACTACAGCCACTGACATAATCATATACTTTGTTGTCTATAGTTTGATAATACTTACTTTCAGTTCCTCTTCCATTTCAGATATCCTTCTTTCTAGAGCTCTTCTTTCCTAAATCAAAAGATGTGTTAATATTGAACAACACCATTTTTAAAAAAAATTACTTCTTGTAAATACTGTGATAATAGTGAAATACTTCAAGTTTCAAAGATCATACAACCAGAAGCACAGTGTGGACAGGAAACTTGTGATGGCAGTGATATGTAGAAAATTTGACAATATTGATTATTAATAACTTAGGAGGGAGAGCTATTAAAATTTACATCAAATCCTATTAAAAACACCCCTTCCTTTACTCGGATTTAGACAGTTGATAAGTACTGCTTGTTCGGGTTTATTTTTCTGTAAGCTAGATTTTCATAATAGCTTAATATACAAGAAATGCAGAAAATGATCAGAAACAAACAAGAGCATTAAAAGAAACAGAAGCACAAAAGCATAAGCTTTCATATCCAAGCAAACGTTGCTGAAACATCTGCCTCAGCTCAGTCAGATCTGCCCACACTATAAACTGCAACGTAGTGTAGAGACACCCAAACTTACATTAAATGGGTTCAGCTGAGTACCAAAGAAATCTAGCCACATAAAACTACCTGCTTCTTGAGTAAACGTTTCCTGAATATTTTCTGCGTTTCTAGTATATTTTTCTTTTTTTTTTTTCTTTTTACCTGAGAAGCAGTAGTAATTAGCCTTCGTAGAGCACTTCAGGTTGTTTTGATCACAAAGATTACAGTACCCAAACTAGCTTATTTAGAATTAGCATAGGTTTTTCTGTACTATGCTGCAGTCTGCAGTGCAGACATACTACCATATTTGTTAAGTTGTACTATTTTGTTTAAACCTCATTTTCAACACATGTGACAGATCAATAGCTAATGCAATAGACTTCAGGGGCTTATAGCTTGATTGCTTTCCTTGTGTCAAACAATGCAGTGTGTCTCATTTAAAAGCAGCTGCGGTTATTCAGTAGTCTACATTCAGATTTTTCCAAAGTGTGAAAGGCAAAAGCAACAGATTATTGCAAAGTGTACATATGCATCTGCATACAACGGTGTTATGCAAACAGCAAGCAGCATTGACTGAGGTGTTTAAAACTTTGGTTAGATCATACCGCCCAGTAGATACTGACTCTTGCCGGTCACCTTTCAGATACAAATCATTTGAATTTAGTTTAATCATAGTGCAGTTATTCCCCAACATTTTCTTATTTAGCAACAAACTAATGTAAAGATTTAGCAAAATAATAGATTACTGCAGTTGTTAGTTCTTACTGTACTTTATGGTAAAATTCTTAACTCGAACTACGATACTGACTGATAGTAATGGGCATAGTAAGTACCAGTGAGTTAACTGCAGTAAGCAAGTGACTAACAAAAATCCCACATCATCTTACATTACTTACAATTGCATCAGTTACCTACTAGTTTTGCAGGATAATATTATCAGTGCTCATAGTTATATGAAGCAATATTTGAAAATTCCTGCAATTACCAAGAGATGAATGATTGATCAAATAAAATCTGAAAGTTTCAGATGTTTAGAAAATCAGTAGTTACTAATAGACGTTCTGAAGTCCTTTTGATGCATTTGTTTAACTAGGTACATTCAGCTTGCCTAAGAATTTAAATTAATTAACTTCATATACTTTATGTTATATAAAAGAAACATTTAAATGGACTGGCCTTGACATATAATTTATTTTTTAAAAAGTAACATTCTGATTAGTAAGCCTCTTGATAAAGTGAACAGTTCACGTGACTAGGAAAATTTCCCAAGACCTGTTGTACTAATACTTGCCTCTTTCATTAATGCATGAACAAACCCACTGTGCCACTACACTATATTCGTTCGTCTGTGTTCCTTCAATCAACTGATTTTCAGAAAGCCTTTCATTTCCAAATGGCCATTCAAATCACAGATAACAGAATTACATGATACATGGATCCTGTAAGAACACAAAATACCCCCAAACTTTCACCATTTCGCAAATGTTGCACTCAGGTTTTGCTAGAATAGATTTGTTAGGAGTGCAAAAAACGAAAAAAAACAAAAACAAAAAACCACACATACACACCACCCACACCAGATTCCCTCTCAGCAATGAACTTCCAACAGCAAAATCCCTAATACAGATGAAGCTATACTTCTCCTTTTCCTGAACAGCTTACTCTGTTTTATTAGCTAGCTTGAGACATACCAACAAAAGAACACAATACGTTTTCTTTGCTGTCCTCAAGATGAAAAAGTGCATGCCAGTTTCTCAGTGCATACCAGACATCTCATTTGTATTTATCAAAACAAGTCGGAACCATGGCCTTGATAGTGTGATCAAGGTACGCTGATTTACTCAGCTGAAAAATGGACCCTATCGTTATAAAATTATTAAAAAGTAAAACACAGGCATATACCTACATCTGTTTGTATTTTCAGTAATACCAAAACAATCCTCCTCTCCCCAACACAAATTCCCAAATGACAAATTCTAAATTTGGGGGAAGCTGGTTAAAGGTACCTACCATTCTGATCCAGATCCCAACCTTGCAATTTGAGATCTACTACCATGTCATATGAAATCCCACAAAGCACTTCTAATGTACTTTTCAGTGGGACAGGTTGTTAGTGAAACTCTTATTTTTGCCTATGTATCACTAGGATTTTGCAGCTGTGATCAGATGTGTACACCCATACCCATGCAAATAGCCGCCTTCTTGTACTCAGTTTTCAAATAAACAGTGTTGAAGCATCAACAAATCACACCACGGAAACCTGCTTTTGAAGACTATGTTTAAATAAAATTCAAAGCTTAGAAATTCACTGTAGTAAAATTTAAAAATACATAGGTTTAATACATTTTTCTGTCTTCTTTACTGAAACTATGTTTCCACCTGAAAACCTCACTACAGGTGCCTTCAGCTTTTTCTCTGCTGTGCCTGTCCTGCCTTTTATTTCTCCACATTTATTCTCACTGCTTTCCCCTTCCCTATTTTTCTATTTTATATGTACGTCTTACATTTTCCAAGTATAAGACTTCACTAAAATAAAACTGAAGTTCTTACCTTTTACAATTATACCCTGACAAACCACATATGAAAAAGAGGTCTTTAAAATTATCCTTAAAGACTCACAAACAACATGAACTGAATTTAGCAAGCTTATTTCTAGAGGTCAGGTATCGATGACTAGCATCTGAGAAGCCTGCTTCAGTCACTTCACTCACTGGAGTTAGTGAAACTAACTCCAGATTTTAACAATGTTGTATTATAAATAATTTAATTTCTCATGAAGGGAACCTATTCAGAGATACTCGCATACGTCATCACTCACGTGATCTAGTTACCAAGAATGTTAGCATGAAAGACTATTGGACTGTTGACGCTGCATCAGTCTCTGAGCTCATTCCTCTGATACAGCTGTTAAGAAGGAACTGAAGTCCAAACCAAATGCTACTACATAGAGTAGTTTTATTCCTTCTTTCTCAGTGCTTTGAATATTACTCATAGCATCAGAACTTTTATTCTAAATAAAAGCTAGAATAAAATAAAGGAAAACACAAGCACAACTAAATTCCCGTTTTAAATTCTTGTCTGAAAACAATTACGTTTGAAATTATAAGACACAGACTGTCTCCTATATCTTGTGTACTTCAGTTTTCAGTCATAAAGTATTATCACTAACTTTATTTATCTTTTTATCTGCTAGCTTTGGTAGTAATAACTTTAGAAAAAGTAACATTTCTAAAAAACATTTTGCTATTGGGTTACACGTCTCCTACAAGAAAAAGGTACAAGAATTCCTAATACAGCCAACTCTCTCATGCGATAGCCTATTCTGGAAAAAAGCAAAGTAGTAACTTAAAACTGAAATAATGCCAAGCTATTCAGTATTAAATAAACTGCAGCTTGGAATCCATATAACAATGGATGTCACTGCATCTATGAAACAATTTTAAATGTCTACTCGTGTAGCAAGCAAGAAACCAATTAAAGCTGATGATGAAACTTTTCTGCTGATGAAATCATTGCCTACAGCACGATACAAAAGCCAAAAAGAAAATCAAGGAGAAATAGGTGCTAAAAGGCCACTCTAATTATCTGAAATGATTACCAAGATAAACATATGCCTGAGAGCATTTCTACATCTCCATACTCTCCTATAAAATTCCTCTGGTTTTGGTTTGCTTACTAGATAATAGAAACATTGGTTTTTAAACCTCAAATGCTGGAAAACTAACCTATAGGGCTAGTGAACGTGAGGTTTAAGGCATATCATATCACTTATATACTGTCAAAGTCCTCCCATTTAGTTATCTAATGTGTCACTCCAGGAACAAGTGAGCATTAAGATCAGCACGGGGAGAGAAAGGAACACGTGGCTAGGGACATACTGGAAGCCAGGACCACAACAGCACCAATTTAGTTGTGTAAACTGTTGCAGAACTAAACTTTTATAGGCACTGATTTTAAACTAGCATGAAACTGCAGCCTAAAAATATCATTGTCTAACTTATGAAATACCATAGCCTATCTCACATGTCCATTTGTTACACGACCCCCCTCTCCCAGTCAACAGATCCTGATGCCCTTGTTCCTGCCCTGTCCAATTTAATTCTCTACCTGCCCACCCCCACCTCCAGTGGGATATTTCCTCTGGAAAGAGTTGCAGGACAAGAGTATGCAAGACGCATATTATGCTTAATCTTATACCATTAACTGGTTTGAAGCCTGATGCCTATAGGATAGAAACAGCTACCTCATTACCAGTAGTAATTGGTAAAATGACACACACGCCTCTGGAAAGCTCTGAGGAAATTTACGTCTCCGAACGTTAGAAGACGAGGCGCTCTGAATATGCTCAACGTTGCTCTGGGACAACATGGAACAACTGGCAGAATCCTGGCCAGCAATCCAATTCAGAACCTAGTTGTCACATACCAACAAGTGATCTGGAAGCAATTCTTAAAAGTAATTCCATCTCAACAGTATCTCACATTTATTGCCAGTTTGAATCCTAAAATCCCCAGATCTTCTAAAAAAATGCACGTTATAAGGCAGGCTTCTGTTCTCACTAAAATATATCCAAGCCATCAGTTGCAAAACAAATTAAAACAAAGCTCGAATTAGAGTACTTAATTTTTGGCAGAAACTCACCCTTTTTTCCATTTCCAAGAGTGATCTGTCAGCAAATCTTTCTTGTCTCTGAAACACAAAATTAATAAAGACACTGGGACATGTTCTGAAAATTATAAAACTGAGGAAAAGCAATACAGTTAGAATGTTTTAGCTTAAGGCAACTACTACTGTATTCTGTCTGAGGTCATATGTCTTTAAAAGCATTTCAAAACGTATTCAGGGAAGTAATACTGAAATAAAAATAAAGAAGAATGAACTGGATTTACCAAGGACTTCGTCTGTGACTATCCCCAAGTAATTTAATCTCTTTACATAGCCTTTGACAAATAGGAGTAAAACAGTATTTCTATCTAAAAGCATTACAAAACAAACATTTTTAAATGTACTTCACTGATATTTACAGGGTGCATACGGAAGACACTGAAGTACACACACAGGTAAACTGTGGCAGATGTGACCTGGGAATAGGAAACACACTTTCTACAGCAATTTAAGGAGAATTTCAGTTCTGTGTACATACTTGCTATTACTGTATGCAGCAGCGTTATCTGAGAGCAGTTATCTGTAACCTAAGTGGAGTGCACTATTTACTCTTTAGCTATAAGATAAGGCTATCTAACCAGCCAGGAAGAATCAGCAGGTTATGCCAATCTGCCAGCAGGCTTATGAATTCATCAGTCAATCCAGATTGACATTTTGAACATAAACTTAACAGTGTGGAAAGTCTTTTTCCATACTCTGCAAAGAAGTTTCAGATACATGCCGGTAAGAACCACTACTACTAAAAAAAAAAAAAAAAAAAAAAATGCAGCAGGCAGCCTCATACATTTTGTTCCCAGCTGAAGACCAGAATCCTCTGCTCTTTCTTCTCTAGAAACAGTGAGAGGTACTCTATTTCTCCTCCATCTTTGTATAGGAAACATAACACTGATGTCTAGGAAACAGCAGCCAGTTTCCTGAGGCGCTTCTAGTTTGCCATCTACTTTGTTGGAGAAAGTCTTTTTTGGTTAATACAAACCTGAGTGGTCTTTTCCAACTGTAGTTTAAGATCTGTAAGTTCCATGTTGGTATCATGTAACTGTGCTTTCAGTTTTTCATTTTCAGCTAGAATCTGTTCATAAAGCTAAGAGAAAATATTCATTTAATAAACATGCATTTTCTGTAGTGAGATTAGTTGAAATGTTTAAAAACCATAACTGAGCTGCATATAAAAAGAATACAGTAATAGTCCAAGAAGTAAAAATCGGTTAAAGATGTTTAGAAGTGGAAACACTTTGAAGAACTACCTTCCTGCTACCAAACGTCTCTTGAAACATGCAGCTTTGCATAGGGAACACGCAACTTACCTTACACTTTAGAAAACATTTGCCACTTTTTCGCTTCAGACTTCTACTGATTAGACAACACAGTAAACTTTTGACAAACTTCTCATCTATTCTGAAGCAAGATCTAAATATACATGCAGACATATCAAATATGACTTCACATAGGGGTAAAGCAGTTTTAATGATTCAATCAACCACAAAAATAGTTGAATGGCATCTGTCATTTTAAAACAAACCAAACAAACAACAAAAAAAAGTATTTTGGCTCCTTTAGGTTTTCCCCTTGTCCTTAAAGGGAAAATGGCAAAAACTAAAAGCTGTTTTGTAATGTGTATTACCCCAATGCATGGTTGTTCTGCTCCTCCTTTCAGCTGTCTTCCTTTAAGCAGGATTTGTGGTGCAATTGGAAGAGATTATTTCCAGACAATTTATCATAAAACAGTAATAAAGTTCTATTTTTACATCAAAATTGTTGGATCAGATACCTTCTTAAAATCAGTGCTATCTTCTTTATCTTGTCTACTGCAGTAGGGTTTTCGATCTTCAAGGTAACTCTGTGGCCCAGATCGCCCCTGCACTGAATCATAACGGTCACCTGAAGACATGCTGAGGGATCCTGTATCATATCTGTAAAAGAAAAGTTTTTGTTTATCTTTGTTTTTACACATAACTCAGACCGAGGCCGCTCACTGTATCAGGGATTCTGAATTTGCCATTTTTCAACTGAAAAACAATTATGTAATTATGTATTTTATTTAAGCCATTGTCTTTTCTCTAATTTGATGCAAATTAAGTTTTTACATTCCCTCAAGATTATCTGTATGTTTTCAAATTGCTGAGTTTAACTTCATGTAAATGTTTGCCTTTCATGACCAGAAATCTTTGGATTAAAATATTTCATTCAAAAAAATATTTACAAGTATTAGAGGACTTGAAACTGGCTTGGACGCTTCCATTCTTTATTTATAAAGGAAAGAAGATTTATTTTTAAAAAGTATTTTTTTAATTGAAGTTTGTTGGGTTTTGCCTCTTTTAAAAAGGCATTTCAAAAATATCAGCCAGGTTGGATTCTCCAAGTTTTTTTTTGTTTTGCTTTATTAGAGAAACCAAGGAGATTTCAAGAATATTTATTGTCAAGTCAAACATTTCAACAGAAGCAGGTCAGGAAAGTCTTTATCCTTTTCATCACTAAATTACAACCTGTATAAATAAAGTTTTAAATTAAAATTTGAAGTTTTCATGCTGGTCATTCTTCATTTATGTGCTGTAGTAGTTCTATTTGGTAGATTTTCAGCACACATGGAAAACAATTTTATGAAGGGAGAGAGGAAACCAGAATTCCCCCTCTTTGCACAAATCTGTCTTTATACTACATCACAGCAAGAATGGATAAATATACATGTACTATTCTATAAGTTTAACTGAAAAGAATCAACTGCAATCAAACTACTTCATAGTTCAATCATCTTCAGTTCTAGCCTTCGGCACGTTAGATACTCCATACGAACGAGGACGGGCGTTTCACCGTCTCTTAGCGTTTCTAGTGCAGAGAGATGCAGCTTACTTGCTCTCTCCCGTTTAGAATGGCATTCTCATAGACACGATACTCAGGGTGAATCCAGCACTTGAAAACTAAAGCCTTACTTCAAGAGAGGTCTAATGCACAGATGCTCAAAACTGATATTTAATGAAGAACTGCTGTAGAGAGATGATTTAACAGAAATAAGCATTATTTGGGGTAACCGTAGAAGTTTGCTTTCTGGTAAAACCCAATTTCTTTTGGACGATATCAGCAGGATAAGAAACAAAAAGCCTAAACCAACCAGACTAATATTAATATTGCTCGTTTGAATTTTGTTTTGCTATACTGTAGTGCTACAGGAACGCATTTTCTCTGCGATGCACCTCAGACTCATGTACAATCAGACAGAAAAATTCAGTAATTAATTCCAAAGGTCTCAGCACAAATGCAAACATTTTTTTAAAAATGATTAATATTTCTGTATTTTTATTGCAACAAACCTTAAGGGAATCTGATTTTCAAAGGCTGCAGTACTTTTCTTGAGGTTTCTTTGAAATATTTCAGTAGGATATTCTAAAAGAGGGGCAACAAGAACCACTTGTCTTTTTTGTAAATGCTGACTTCATACTGCAAAATTTGCACGGAATGGGACTGTATCCAGCATGTTCTACAAACGCCTAGCCTGCCTTCAGTGCACGACCAACACGTAGCCCAACGCATCCCCCAATATTACGAGGGTCCCACCCACACATGGACAAAAATTCAGTACTGTAGCTTTACAATCATACTCCATATAAATGTTAAGTGTCATTAATACCTTTCAAAACTCAACCCAATTCACTATCAAGGTTAAGCTGAATTTATACATAAAGAACTTAAAAGCCAAAACATGCGAATAAAAAAGGGTAACAATTCTAAATAAAATAAATGGTTTAAATCACACATACCTTGAAAGGCTATCACTCTGAGGTGAGGAGGGGTAAAGAAAAAAAAGATCAAGTCAATAATTTAATTCAAAAAAACACATAACAATTTAAACAAGTACAGCCAAACAGGTTCATGTTCAAGTACAAATGCTATTTGACACCATGTTACTATCTGAACGCCATTTTCAAGCTTCCATTTTGTTATGTCTGGAACGGAAAAGAAATACGTTCTGGAATGTATTTGCCAAAACATGAATTACAAGGAAGCGAGCATTACACCCTAGAAGTTTGGGCTGTCTAAAACACTAGAGTCATTTCAGCAGTAGGTACGTTTTACAGTTTGCCTGCTTGTTATCCAAAGGCATCAGAACCGTTCGCTGAATTTCCTATTCCCTCTTCTTCTTTTGTAATAGTTGAGATAATGTTTTGAAAGGTTGATATAATAATGACTTCAGCTTCAAATAACATAAGAGAAGCTACAAAATCACCGTTCCAGTTTAAACTTCATAGGGAATAAGCAACTATTCCAGCAACGTAAAGTACTTACCAGACTGAATTTAAATTATGTAATTCCATTCTTCATGTTGTTTTAACTCATTCACTAATTACAGGGGAATACACAGGAATACTTACTTGCTGAACAAAATTTAATTAAAAGTGATAATTTAAGAATGAAGGAATATCCTCTATGCACTATATCAACCATATAAGCCTTTTCCCCTTCTGAGTGGTCAATGTAGACATGTCACTCAAGAAAATCTACTGATATATGATCACCTGGACATCCTCCAATAACATTCACCTAGCAGTGGCTGGAGCCTTCTCTCTCCACTTTTTTTTTGTTTTTTGTTTTTTTTTTTTTTTGAGAATTTCAATTTTTTGCATTTTCTCAACCTGCACCGAGGAAAACAGTCACATTCTCCACAACACCCTCCATTTCCCCTTTGACACCTTTAAGCGCATTCACTCCCTGGAGGATATCAAAAGTACGTGCACCAGCCGAACTACGCCTATCAACATATTATTTTCTGTAAGAGTAAGAATGCGGAGAACCGAGGGATTTTTGTGGAAAACGTCACAGTTTGGTGACACACAGCTACACGTGCAGAGTTTTTAAGCTACTGGCCGCAACAGTATTAACTTCCACCTAAGTATGACCCTTATCTTACGTATTATGTTTAAGCAGGATCAGGGTGGGATTACAGGATTGCACCATATAATCCATGAGCTAACAGCAGAGCATGATGTGGGACAAAGCAGCAATCTTTGTCGGTACAGACTTTACAGTCTTTTTAGCGTGAAGGAAGGTCGTATGCAGAAACACACTACACCGGTCCTTTCAACCTTAACCTGCAAGGCATGCCAGCCATCACAAGAAACTAAGCTTTCCCTGCGTTATCCCTTAACAAACAGGCTGCCGAAGCCTGGTGCTCTCTGCTTCTAGTGGCCCTGCGATGCCATGGGCACGTGCCAACCTGAAGCCTCCGTAGCTCCCCGAGCACCAAGGCGAGCTAGCAAGGCACAGGCGGGACATCTCCGCAACAGAAACTTGCGGCTCTGCTAGGGGGAAGAAAAATTGCTGAGGTAGGAGAGGCCTGGAGATTGGGGGGGGGGAGGAGGGGGTTGTACTGCATTTTAACTGTTTCTTTTTTCTTCATTTTCCCCTTCAATTTTTCTCAGTTCAGTTCAGTTCTGTCCAGTCACAATTTTTTAGATTTGACAAAAACGTTTTGGGGAAAAAGTAGGACAGTAACCCTAAATTCTCTGCATGAAGCTTGTCTGAGGACAAACGATGCCAACGCTGCTCTCGCGGCACACGCAGCTCGCGCCTGAGATGGACGCTCGTAAGGTAGTCGTGGAGCTGAACAGCCCGCGGGAGCCCAAGCTGCATCAGCAGCACACAAGCACTGAGGAAAAAATTTAAAGATCCTCTCCTTTACGCAAGCTGAAATAACACTCGCTTCTAACCCTACACAGCCACTCTATACAGACCGCAAGAGTGCCACAGAAGCAGCTCTGTATTTGAAAATGCACACTAAGCTTCCACCCCGGCACATTACATTTTGGAGAGGTTAGGATAACTACCGGAAAGGGAAATTAAACGTGAATGTCAGGTGCAATTTTTCGTAGCATTCTCAGTGAGCGATTCTGGAAAGCTTCCACAGCAGCAAAACTGAAAAATCAGGATTTGAGCATGGTATTTGATAGGTTATTTAGATTAGCTTCTGATGTTTATCCTCGCAGAATTAAAAGCGCTAATGTAATTTATGAAAACTAGCAATATTAGGAAAATCTTTCAAAAGTGATGCATCGGACCTCTCCCAAAATAAAATTTCATTCCATTTTATTACAATTTTACCAACTTTATTTTTCAAATACATATTTTTTGCCTATTTCACTTTTTTGTAACCATTCCCCCCCACCCAGCTCACACTGGAGTTCTTCTGAGTCCAGTCCAAGCGTACAAATTCCAAGTTTCAATGTTAATAAAAGCAGGAGCCTTTATCTGCTGTTGTGCAGAGATGTTTGTCTTTTCCTGATTGTTTCCTGAACAGAGAACTGCCATTTCTTTATCATGTTCCCATTCTCATCTCTTAGCCAAGTGCCAGCTCTTTCTCATTCACCGCATATATCGTCTTCTCCCCTGCAAATACTCATCTCATGAAAAGCTTCACTCCCAAATACCCTGGTTTTAGTTTTTCTGTGCTTGAATACTTTTTCCTCATTTCCTACAAGTTACTCTCTCTTTTTCTGGCATTATCTTCTCCTGTGTCACAGAGTGAAGATAAGGTACCAGCTTCAGTAAGTAAAAAGACGGCTAAAACGTAGTAAGGAAACGGCTCACTGAGGAAAAAAAATCAGCAGTCTCGAAAATTAAATTTTAAGAATAGCAAACATCAGACTCAACATTATCACAAGCGTTGGCAACTCTGTTATACCTTAAGTCTTTTTTTGGAGTGTCTGGCCAACATTCCCCTCCTAATAAATCAGGTTTCATATTCATACTTAGCACTATTTTTTCCTCAAGGCCTAATAGCTATCCCAAATCACTTTAAAAAGGAGAGAACATCTGGGAATCTCAATCCACAGACTAAGTTAAATGCAAAGTAAAATCTAATCATCAAAAAGGTAGAGAACACGCTGATTTCTAAAGAGTACACGAACAAAAACTTAAATCAAAGCTAAATCCAAATACTTCTTTCCCTACGGGCAGCCAACAACCAGCCGCACTGTTCAGGTTCCCCTACGGGCAGCCAACAACCAGCAGCTCTGTTCAGGCATGTTTGACAGTAACGGGAGCTGCTCCAATAGTGGTATCACTTTGGTATGCACATTTCAATTTCCATAAAGCAGGGCTTTGAATATGTTCTAGTAAAATCCTTTTCTCATCCTCCTTGAAATTTGTTGTGACTTCTGAAAAGCGTTCATCTTCAATGATGCAACAAATGAGTAAACTGGATAAGATTTAGCAGTCTTACAATTTTGTTTTTTTGCTTTATATTTATTAAATTTAGGTCAGGTTTACCCATACATAAAATGGCTGCATTTATTTTTGGCACACTCCAGCTACCAACAGCATAGTTCCAAACTCCTATCTCTTTCTGTCCCCAGAATTCAGACAAACATAACTGTTCTTAGAAACGAAAAGTTAAAGCAAATCAATGCAAGTAACATTCTCCGTTGTTCCCAAGAACAACGTTACTTTAAAGAACATGCTTATCTGCAAAAACAATTTATTTCTTCGTAGCCTCAATTTCTGGATGATATTTGTGAGAGAAGTACGGGAAAGGATGCAAGCAAAAATATAACTGAAAAACAGGCTTCACTGAAATTTTTTTTTTTAATCTAGAGTTCCTCATTTTCCAAAGTGATCTTCAGACTACTTTATTTTTGAACTGCTATTCTACAACTTAGTTCTAAGATTATATCCTTCTTCCAGAAACACCATTTTCCTGTAACATAACATTCTTAGTGCAGTATTGAAAAAAATCTTAACTTTTAGCACTAAGAAGCCTAAACAAAATTTCATGACAACAACCTTCAACTTTTAAGCTGTTAGTGAGGTTTGACTTCTCCTTATTAGTTCTCTTTTATGGATGAACGATTAATTAAGTACAGGAGACAGGCTCTGCACATGGAACAAGAAAGCACAAACTGAAATCTTGTAAGTCAATTCTTTCAAAAGACTTCTGAAATGAATAATGTAACACACTTGTCAGGTTCCTGATATATTTCAGGCTAGAAATTATTTTGTCTACAGCCCTTCAATTTTCTTTGTAGCATATGCAATTGTTCTTGACCTCCTCTCTTTAGTTTAAATTCTTGAGTTATTGCCAAAGCTCTTGGAATTTTATAGTTACCATCTCCTACCTCTGGCTTGTACCTTCGTCAAACAATAAAAACAATAGCAGAACCGCAGAAGGGAGTAACAGAGAAATTCAGTATTTCCAGAGATTTGTGCCTTCTGAATAGTATATAAAATAATCAGCACAATTAAAAACGCATTAACTATTTTCTGGGTTTTACTTTAGCTTTTCTCTCTAATTTTAATTTATCCCAAATCCCCTTCCTTTTCTCCTCTGAAAAATGGGAAAGGATTTATAAGCAAAAAACCAAAAATGAATTTTCAGCAATGAAGCGTGCAGATCTGTGTCAAACTGAAATTAGACTTAGCAGCAGCAACACAGAAAGTGCAAGTTTTTTCAGTATTTGAAAAAAATCAAAAAATATACCTTTTGTCATATAATTGGGAATAAATTGCCTGTCAGATCAATGCAAGCCTATTCCATTCTCATTTTTCAGAGATGACAAAGTACCATCAAAGTACCAAAGTATCATCAAAGTACCAAACATTTAGTTCCCAGTTTATCAATCTCGAAATGGCTATTCATCAAGGAAAAGAAGATATCTGAAACCCACAAAGTTTTAAATCTCACAGATATAATCTTATAAAATAGCTGGTATGCAAAAGAAAAAAAACCCTTTAATAATAAAACAATTACATTATTGTATATGACTAATATATCTCAGTTAAGAGGACTGTAATATTACTAATGTTAGAACATTCTCCTCAATTTCAAAGCTAGACTGGAAATTCCATAGTGGGTTCAACTATGCTTAGAAGAAAAAAAAAAAAAATTGCTGAAAACTCCTGAAATACTTATTTTAATATTCAACTCACTTTCAAGCTGTCTTCATATTTTCTGCAGCTGATGTGACAAAACAGCTTATATTAAACAAAGCAAAATCAATTTAACGTAGCTGTGCGATAAGAGAACTCAGGTCACACATTTAAAAGCTTATTTCAGAGCTTTCTATGAACTCAAACCTGATGTTATGTTGATTTATAATTCAACTAAACTATCAATGTCTTTTCCTAAAAGTATATGGGCTAGAAGCTTTTTTAGTTTAGAAATTTAATTCAGAATCAATTTCCAAGGCAAACCATGAATTTGGTGCAAATTCTACACTCTTCTCTACTACTCCACCCCAACACACCCACACACACCCCCTTTTAACGGTAGATCACGTTCATAATTTTCGGCCCGAATGACCACTGTATGACTGTAGTTTTAATCTGAGTCTAATTCTATTAGGAGCTCCATGCGCATGTTCTGCCAAAATGACTTTCCACAGAACAGAATACGGAATAATTAAAAATCTAAGGATGACAATATGTCCTGGAGCGTAGAAAAGAAAATAAAGACTATGTATGCCTTTATGTTAAGGTGACAGTGAAAACAAGGCAGCAAACCAAAATAGGACTAAATGAATCTCTTAACTGAGCTAGTTAAGGAATGCGTAATGGAAGCTTTTACAAAAACAAGAAAAACACTGAGTTTTCTTATTCGATAATGACACTAATTCCCTAGCGCATTACTCCTGCGGCTAGGCCAAAAGACGCATATTCTGCCATACCATTTTACAGTACAGCGTAAGTCACTGCTGCCTTTTTAACCCCTCTCGTCATCCCATTCTCAAGCACAAATCTGATTACAAGGAATTTTCCGATCACATCAATCCCATTATCTTGTTTTTCATCGACCTTTTAAGACGACTAGTAATACTGAATTAGGATGTTCAGAAATCCTTTTTCCTCAATGGAGGAATCAGGTAGATCATGCTCTTCAAGTTTCAAAGCTTTCTTATATAAGTTTTTTTTCGTATTGTATGCTAATTACATCATTAACAGCACTGTTTTTAATCTAAGAAAGATTCTACTTAGTGTGCATTAGTCACAGGACTAATCATTTCCCTGAAAATAGCAGAAGAGATGAAACAAAGATATTTATAAGGTAGAAACTGAAAATTCGCTCAAGTAACTTGCTGCAACATGTTCCTGACCTACGTCTCAGAACTTTCAGCAACATTTTCTGCAGATTGCTTCTGTACACTCAGAATGGAAGAGAAAAACAGACAGTTTTAGCTACTGTTAATAAAATAAAAATTGTTATTAAAGCCTGCAGTTCCCCCCCCCCCCAAAAAAAAAAAACCTGCAAAGGAAAAGAAACTGAAACATAGCAGCAAGTTATGAACCAGAAAGCACTCCAAAACTCATAAGAAGTCTACAATATGTGCTCTTCTAACTGACTCCAACTGCAGTAACAGTTTCACAATCAAAATAAAATCTGTTAGAAAGCTAACAGATGAATTATTCTTTACTAATTACCTGAGTTTCTTTCTTGTTTGTTCCTTCTTCTGAATCAGACTGGTGCTCCTGTTCATTTTCGTCACTCTGGTGAAAGAGGGAGAGGAAAAATTAAGCTGTTGGAAGCTTACTGAGACAAAGACGTTCTAGACTTAGAGTATCAAAATTCAAGACTATTAGAATTCTACCTAACTGAAAATGTATAGAGCATAAATGGGACATGAGTTTCACTCTTACAGCTTCAGTATGCATGCAGTCGAAAAGAATTGTTCAATGATTATTTTTTCCTTACATAAACACTGTGATTAATTCCTATTATGTTATGGTTGTTTGGATATTTTAGAGTTATTTTTAGCATGACCAACATAACTGAGACTCAATTTTTATTTCATTTCTGAATGCTTCCTAAGAGATGCATAGAGAATACATACCTTGAAAAGGCACCAATTTTTCCAGTAGTTATATACCATACCACTCCAAGCTATTCTCTGTTTTAAGAATGCACAACATGCATTCTATACTGCTGCAAACTATGGCTATACATTAGTAGCAGCAGTCTTTCACTTACATCTTGAGTCCAAAAGGAGACTCCTGTAGATCGTCGTTTTTCTCTTGGTCGCCGCCTTTCCCTTATTGATTTAGTCTGTGACTTATCTTCCTCCTTTTCTTCCTCTTTTTTGCCCCCTTCTGTTAATAAAAGCTTTCTTGTTCATTTAAATATGACACAGAAATAATCTAATCTGAGATACTTCTTAGTCTTTTACAATGTTTACTTACAGTTTTAACCTGAAATAAATTGGCTACAGAGCTTCTTACCCCATATAGGGTTTGCAGCAATATACATTCCTCAGAACACAGCTCTAAAATATTGTAGTTGTTCAAGTTGTCAAACAGTAACTGCAAAAGGCTAATTCCATGTCAGCCACCTAAACAAAATGTTTCAGTATAACAGCAATACGCTGTAAATTGGACTTAAAATTGAATTTTCAGAACTGTCACATAATTAGAGTAACATCTGTATCAACAGATGTTGTATAAAGTACAGAATTACAAAATTGTAAGGTAATTCTTTGCCATTCCTCAAACAAGTAATATTCTGCTTGTATCAAGACATTTGTATTACATAAGTATTTTACAAGTCTGATAAATCTTCCTCAGAGTCCACTTTTTTGTTACAGACCTCTACATTTTCCCTTCTGAAGGATAAAATGGGATCCTTCTAGGTTAGATTAATACTATGTCACAGATTTCTTTTTCTTTAAAAGAAATTCAACTTGAATTCAACACTGAGTTAATATGTCGGGATTCTCATTGATCTCCTATAGGTTAACAAGCAATTTGTAGGAAAAATAAATATTAATATATAAATAAATATAAACAGCTGTCAAATACTATAATAAAATATTAAAGGCTGCCAAAACAGAAGTTATTTACCTATTATCATGCATTTTATTCAGTGTACTATTCTTTTATTAAAGCAAGAAACCATAGATTTAGGCACAGATCCAAGTATCACGACTAATTAGCTTTACCATCGCTATTCTTCAGAGCTAAATGAACGTGTTACCATGAAGGGAGAATGAAACAGAAAAGAGGAAATATAAATATTCACAGTGAATATACACCTTTCTCAAATAAATTATGATTCTACTTCTTGTCTTTCAAACAGCAATATATTTCTCATCCTAAAATCAGGATCAGAAAAACCTGCGGTAGCTAGTATTTACATATAAGGGTCTTTTCCACAGAAAAGTCTAGAAGGAGTTTCCTACAGTAAGCATCGTTTACTGAAAAAAATTAATCTAAATTTCAGTTCACGTCAGGACAGAGGAAAAAAACAAGAAAGCACATCCCTGAAGTTATCTCAATAACATTTTCAGAAAATATCAATCTATGGAACACAACAATATTGTTACACAGCTCATGGATATTTCAGATCAATGGCTCCTTTAATCTGATCCTCTATATAAGAAAATCATTAGTTTCAATCAGTTACCTATACTGAATCAATAACTTCAGTTCAAGTATTTCTCCCAAGTCAACAACAGCATGCCACGAAAGAGAACAGGAAATTGCAGTGCATGTCAAAAGCTTCATCCTTTGACAGGTAGCTAAAAGGCAAGACATTTCTGAGAATTATAGCTGGTGATTCACATTTGAAACGATGCCAAAGACTCTGCGACATCCAAGAAAAGCTTCTTTCTGACCTCTGAGTCAAGCAATCTGATCTTCAGTATAAGATTAGATAAACCAGTTAGGTATCTAGAAGTATGGTTCCACAAAATACAACGAGTTAACACCACGCTACCACCAGAAGTGTGCGTCTCCTCCTTTCTCAGCAGTGCATGAAACCATGAGAGGTCCTCAGTGCTTTAAAGCATTATTCCACTGATTCGGTCATTAATTCCTCATATTTCTTAGGGGAACATAAACCAAATTATTCAGCAATTATTTATTTGAGTAAAATTCTTCCTCAATACTTGCAAGTGACTATCTAAACTCTCCACTGTGGTATTTTATCACAGTTGCTGTCTTAAAGCAGAAACAAAAGCGTTACAGGCAGAGGAAAGGCAGTGTCTTTTTGACACTTCTATGACCCACCAAGGCAAAAACCCAGACTCATATACTCAAAGGCTGTAAAAGACCATCCAGTCCTGAAAATCTCTTTTTCCTCCCTCTCTGTATGCAAATTGTGGGTTTTCTTATAGAAAGTAGAGTAAGATGCATCCTCAGTGGTCTTAACACACCACACCCAATTTAGAATCATCTTCAGAAACACAGTCTGCCTTTGGCCATTAAAAGCAAGAAACCCCTTCACATATAGTACTCCTACCTCTCTCACTTTCCTTTGTTCCACTCCGAGAATAGGCAGAAGTTATACCTATAAGGCTGTTTGGTCTGTTTAGTTGACTTGAAGTTGAAAGAGAGCTAGTAGAGGTGGAGAGCGAAGAGGTGGATGACGAAGAAGTTGAAGTTGAAGTTGGTCTATAGCGATGATATGGCTATTCAGCAGAAAAATGTCAAAATTAATTTACAAAGAATAAACACAACCAAAACAGGATATTAAAACACTTAAATATGTACATAAATGTTTATGGTAATACCAAATTTATAATAGTGTAACTGGAGTTAAGATTCATATAATTTCTCTACCTAAGGAGACCCATCATGAAAATACCTCTTCAACAGTTCGGGAATATCTTTGTCTATAATCATCATCTTTAGTCTCAGATTCTTTCTTTTCTTCTTGCTTTTCTTTATCTTGCTTTTCTTTCTCTTCTTTTTCTTTTTCTTCATTCTCCTGTTCTCTGGTTCGTGTGGGGCGACTTCTTCCTATAGTCTTTTCAGCCTCTTGAAGATCTGTCAGTGTCACACCCTGTGAAAATAAGCAGTAAGCAAACAATTTTTCAATATACTACTCAACTTGCATTACTATAGATGGTCACACTAAATAAGATAGTTTTAAATACAAAATTCACCTTCAGAAAATTAATTCTACCTATTAAGAAATAAATTCTACCTGTAAGTTTTCTCTCGAATCTTGGAACCAAATACCTATCAGTAACATCTGCTCTAACGTGATCTACCGCAGATTCTTCAGTAACCATTTCAACTGAACTAGTACAGACAAACCATGTAGAAAACCATGCAGAAATCATTCACGAACCCACTAGATCCTTACAAAATCATAATCATCTTAAATTTTGAAAGAACAACCTTAAAAATTAAATCACATAAAATTGATTTTCAAAAGGTCCTGACAGTTCACAAATTCACTCACTAAAACTGGTTTTTTAGGTCCACAACGCATCAAAAGTTGCATTGACAGCAGCAGAGAAAGTTGTAACTCATTGTTAAATTCTGAGACTAAAAGCCGGTTTTCAAATAAGCTCAGAAAGCTAACAATGAAATAAGCTCAGAAAGCTAAACATTTCTTAAGGGAAAAAAATGACAACTTCTCTCTACTACGCTTTCAGCCCGTGTGTCTTACTGAAACATTGCTGAAAATACTGTACGTGATCCAGTCTCCAAAGACAACTTTCCAGTTGCTGTCATTAGTTATTTAATTGCTTTTTGTGCTGATAATGTTGTAACACAGTAATTTCTTGCAGCATCTTCACTGTAAAGATTCAATAATATTCAGCCTGTACTTTGACAGTCTTTCCGCATTGTCCATTAGTACCAAGAGGTAAAAAGGAATTTCACCAGGATAAACCTCTGCGAAACAGTGTACACTTCTCAATAGGAAATGTTACCAGCAACATTTGAGGTGTTTACAATTGTAAAGGTTTGTAAGCAACATCAGTAAATAGTTTAGTTACAGGCTTAGTCTTAAAGCAGATAGGATGCTGGCAAGAGTATTTATTTATTCTATTTTATCCAGGGACTACTCTGCTGATTATTGTCAGCCTGCCAGTACACACAAAAACAGATGGAGAGAAACACTTCCCAGAAGATAATGGTTGGTAATCACTGTACTGCTCTGAAAGCATTCAAGCAGTGTTTAAAAATCATCTACTTTGCCATTGTCAGATCCATTTATGTATGAGGATGGTACTATTTGAAATTCAATATAAGATAGTTCGTGCAGAAATGAAAAACCACCAAAAATATCAGTACCTAAACTGAGAGAGAGAAACTCTGAGGAAGCGTGCTATTATATTCTAGATTACTAGCAAATATGAAAAAGCTCTCTCCCAGTACTCTTCTGTAACCATAGAAACTTTTCTTAACTTCTCTGTGACACAGATCTTACTGGTTATCCATATGTTTATCAATTCAATCATATTACCTTCAATGGTACATACGCAGAAAAAGCTGTAGAAACTCAAGTAATACACCATGCTGTGCTTACTTCTCAAATAAAGTCTTGAGATGTAAGCATATGGCTGTTAGTTCTTGAAGAATTCAAAGCCTTAGGTTTAAACATCTCCATAACATCAGGTTATGGAGATAACCTGCACCATAACATCAGGTGCAATTACTTGAGTAAGCCATTTCAATGTAAGGCAATCAAAAACTTCTCTTCAGTGCAGGAGCGTCTCCTCTCAAATTTGCGTTAAATCACTCTTTGGTGACTAGAAAAGCTAAACTTTCATTGCACAATGGAGGGCCCTCAAGCTTTCCGGAGAAGAAAAAGAATAGGTATTTACTTCCTCTGCTGGTACAGTGTTATACCAGGAAGACCAATCAGTTTTATCTGGAGCTTTACTGGGAAATTAAAACTTCACTGTACTCTGTGAGCTACATGGCTGTGCCTCTATAAATGTAGAAACTGTAATGAAACTATACCTGTGTAGATCTTCTGGACTGTCTTGCTTGCCTGGATCTAGCCTTTCTTTGGGACTCTGACTCTTCATCCCTTACTGGAGTGAGGTATGATCTAAAGAGTTAATTACAAAGAAAATTGGCAAACAGTAATTTTTGTACAACACATTAAACAGTCAGAAAGAAACCAAGACATATGACATGACTGAAAAGCAAGGTAGTTAGAAGAAAAGCTCTAACTAAATACTATATACATACATCCTCCTTTAAAAAGTTCACATTTTTCAACAGAATAAATCTGAAACATCTAAATATTTAAAGATAGATTACATTTTAGACATTTCATCAATATCATAATGCCATATTCAACAAGACAGTAACTTTACCACTCAATTGAAAGACGTACAATTTTCCTACTTAATCTAGATTTGTTTTCACCATTTGCTCTAACTTAAGCTTTTTTGGGATTTCACCAGTCTGCCAATATAGGGGTAGAGCACCTCAGCCAGTGTGCGTGTGTCTGTGCATACCTTTAACAGAACTTGTAGGCTTTTAGAAAAGCTGTGTTGCTAATGCAAAAAAAGGCTAATTATACCATGTACAGCATCTGAAATTAAAATCTTAAAAATCTGAGCAGACAATTAACACATTTTCACA